AGTTACAACAAGAACACTATCGTTACCTACCTTTAGATTAACTTTGAAATAATAGTAGACACCTACTTGTTAATAAACCTTTTAAAGACTCTCCCAAACATCATTTTAAACACGTGGTCGCTTTTATCACGTGTTTTTGTAATATTAGGTTTAATACTCGCCCTCATCTCAGAATTCGCATCAAAAAGGTAACAATATTTAAAAAAATAAAAAATAATTCACATAAAGAGAATAATAACATTGAGCTAATAATTATTAATATCAGTATAACTTTAAAAAATTTAAAAAATATTAAGATTTTTTACTTTAATAAGAAAATATAACAAAATAAATAAAATTAGTAAGTATTTTGAAATAATTTATTAGAGATAAAAAGATTAATTAATTATAATAATCTTATATAAAAGATTACTTTAATTTTTAAGACTTTGATTACTATAATAAATTTTTAATTATAATTAATTATTATAATAAATTTTTAATAACTAATAATAAATTTTTAATAATTAAAAAAATAATATGTAATAGTAAAAATAACATGATATATGCAGTAATTGAGTCATAAAAAATACATTTTTTTCTAAGTACACACCCTCTCTAAATGCATACTTATGACTTGTCCAGAAGGGGGAGAGGATGTATTTAAAGAGATTTATCTGTATTTTTAATTTAGAATAATAATTCCAGACTGTAATTAAAAAATTTTTTTAAAAATTCATATTTAAATATAAATTATCATTTTAATTTTATTTATACAATTTGAGTTCTTGAACTTGCATAAATATAATAATATTTGTTAATATATTATTCAATTCACTATTATCATTTATCTATAAACCCCCGTTTCAAAATACTTGCTTCATTTTTCTTATGTTCCAAAGTTTTTTTATTTCTTTTACTTTTGATGGAAGCCTCTAAATAAAACTTGTCGGCTATAGCAGCAGCACTGGCCTCCTGATAAATTTTTAATGGTTTGATGAACGTACTCGTTGGATCCCCCTCAGCTTCCAAAATTTTAGTATACGCATATTTTGACAACTTTGGTTCGTTCGATTCTTTTACCAAATTGTGTTTCTTTTTCGAACGCATCTTTCTTCGAAACTTTTCCAACAATTTCCTATTATCATCCCATTCCGCCGGATCTTCGCCTTCTTTATACTTTATCGGTTTAGGTGGCTTTTCGTACATTTTTTTCCCGATAATTTGCTCTAATTGCGGATATTTTTGCTTCTGAATCCAAGCCAACCTCGTCTCTAGGTAACCACGCATCTTTACGCCACGTGCACCCAAAAGCTCATCTTTGGTCGTTAGTAAATATCGATCTAGACCGCCTTTTTTATCAATGGTGCGTAACGCGGCGGTGGTAACTTTTATTTTTGTCCAACGTTTAAAGGTTTCCGACCATAGACGTCCCACTCTTACATTTGGTAACCAGGTACGTCGACTCTTATTGTCGTGTTCCGAGACTTTGTTACCAAACTGTATACGTTTACCATGGAATAAACCTTTTTGTGCACGTTTAAATGTAAGATGTTTCAAGTTCCTTGCGAATAGAATGAGAGTTGCTCGCATTGCAAAGTTTGCAATGTAAATTGATTATCTAATCTTATAATTAATAATCGCATGATAGATATAAAGCTTATCTTCATTATTATTTGTTGAATCATATATATATAATATACATGTTTTAAAGGAATAACAAAATAGAGTGGCTATACAGAGTGGCGAATATTAACACACTAAGAAATAGAATGTGTATATGAACGCCAAATACTTATAAATACAAATTATATAATGGTGATCATTATTATTTAAAAAAAATGTCCATCACCCACCCATAATCCAACCTTAATTAAGTGTCCTTTGTTGAATCTATGATTCATTCTTTCGTTTATTTGTTTAGAAACAAAATGTCTTGAAAATAATGTTTTTGCTTCGCTTAGTTTTGAGTCAGTGTCCATTTCATAATCTTCTATTGTTCAGACACAACCAATTGGATGTTACGTTATCTTCGTCGTCTTCTTTGCTATCAATAGACTTTCGATTAGCAATCAAATAAATATAATTGTTAACCGAAACTTCCTTGAGAGCTTGTAGGAATTCTAGCTTCAGGACGTGCGATTTTTTTTTGTAGTGAATTAAGACGGTTGGTTATAGATAAAATAACTAAAAAAAAGAACAATTTCTTAGTGTACATAATCAAGAGCTTTTAATTGTTTCATTTATATTAAAAGATATTTCATACATTTGTTTACTATTCGTCTATCATCTTCATCCATGTTATCTTGCTCGTCTTGAGGGCTATCTAATATGGCATTAAGCATTAAAATGGCCGTCTGATAAGCTCGTTCACAGCCAAGCAGGTCGTCATTTTCTAGTTCGTCAAGGGCAGCTTGACGACTCTAAATAAATAACGAATTTAAGAGATTTGCCTATTTGTTTTGTTATAATTGTTTGTTAATTCGCATTTACCATTTCCAAAGCACGATCATACAATAATTTCTCCGGGACGGCTCCAACGCCCCGTTCGTCTTCTGTTTGACATTTAGATTTGGCATATTCGGCTTTATCTAGACATTCATTATAACGGCTACGTACCCATTGAACAGCTGTATATATATATATATATATATATATATATATAGAAAAAATATTAATTTTTCAAAAAAAAGGAGGATGGATAGTTATTTATTACTTACCATTATTCAATTTATGGGAAGCAACTTTCATACCAGGATAATCAGCTTTTCGATTACCGATACCAGCCCAGTATTGCTTGGCGTTATCCATTGCTGCCTTCAATAAAGAAAGCGCTTTCACATAAAGAACCAATGCTTCTTCTGCTAAAACAACAGCGGCTCCTGCATTAAGAGGAGTAGTATCCACTATATCATTGCTAGCAGAAGGTGGTGGTGGTAACAGTTGGTAATATTTACTATCGGCAAACTGATAAACCACATAAGCTTTTCTCGCTGCATCCTCAATAATCTTAACAACAGTTTCCTGTTATACAAAGACAAACATTTAAGAAGTGTTAATATAAAGACGACTATTTTTTCTATTTGTGTAAAAAGAATCACCTCTTCGGAATCGCTTGTAGCATCACCACTAGTTCCAATAGAGTTTCCCTTTGCTTTTGAATACCTATCACTCCAAGAAGGTGGCGAACCACCATTTCCAAATAAACGTACAGAAGCCATAGATAGAGCCTTAGCAAGAGCTGACGAAGCACTACCATTACTACTAGAAGAGTTTCCTCTCTCATGATTAACCGGCAGAGCAAAAGGAGGTGTAGCAGAATAAAAGTAGGCCGCTGACGGATTTGGTAATTGAACATTTGTACGAAATTGCATATCAGGAGATTTTTCATCTAATGTGTGATTATTGGCATCTTTCGTGATGTCTTTTATTACTATTCCATTATTAAGATTTGGCGAGATAACAAGTTCTTTAATTGTGAGTATAGAAATCTCAATATTATTCCATTCCAAATGCAGCAACTTCATATGAAAAATAAATCCTAAGTTATTTACCATCTGCGAGTGCATTAACCTCTATTGTGCCTTTCTCTTCCACCACGACATATTCTCTTTCAAGGAGCACATCATCCTCGGCACGACTTAATCGTCGAATATCCACATCCCCACGTTTCTTGGAGGTTTCTACATCTTTATCTGAATTTTGTATTAACAAAGAACCTGATGGTGAATTGGCATCAAAATCATGATTGTTGGTTCTTGATGATTCAAATTTCTCATTTCCCAGATGTCCATTATTTGGAGGCGGATATCGAGTGGTGCTTCAAGAAGTTCCATAAAAATAAGCATTTTTTGCCAAATTGTGAAAAAATTGCAAGAAAAAATATAAAACACATAAAATGTACCGTTGATATATTTGTGCTTTTATTCTATCTTTTGATGTTTTTTTCTGTAACTCAGTAGCATTCTGTTGTACATCGAGTCCTGTGATGGCTAAACCGATGATTCCTTTGGGTGACGATCCCTCAACATCTTTATTGCGTGTCTTATGTATATTATGACCTCTATTCTGATGATGATTAGCACCCATATCCACATCTTTATATAAGGGGGCAGGTGAAGATCTCGATCGGTCTCTTATATTATGCTGATTAGTGTGATTATTGTAGTTATTATTTTCGATATCATGATTGGTTCGCACATAATTTTTTGTTCTGTTTTTAGATTCATAAGAAGAAAGCTTTGGTTTTGAAGTGGTTGAGGATGATGAAGGAGGATTTAGTAGTTGCAGCTCACCAGCAACACACGGATGCATAAAAAATTCTTCGAAAGATATTCGTTCAACTGGATTTCGTTTCAATAATTGTCTTATTAGATCCTTTAAATCATCGCTAATTATGATTTGTTCCTCAGGATCATTATTGCTATTACTATTTATAGAAGAATGTCGATCACCATTTCTTGGTCGGGTACTATTGCTACCATTCTGTTGCACCACGACAGGAGAATCTCCTGGAAATTTTATCTTATCGCCATTTTTTTCTATTTTTCGAAGCAACTCAACATGATTCTGTGCACGAAATGGCGGTCTACCAACACTCATCTCATATAACACTGCACCTACACTCCATAAATCCGCTTTCGCGTCATATTTTTCGTATCTCAGGATTTCAGGTGCCATGTAAAGTGGCGACCCACATAATGTTTCTGCCATACTTGTAGATGGTAGTATTCGAGCGAAGCCGAAATCGGCGATTTTCAAAAGAGGAAGGTCAGGTGACCCATATGAGGATATTGTCTCTCTGTTAGAAGATGGTGGCACTAGCAATAGATTCTAAAGGTAATAACAACAACAATTAATTTAATGCAATAAAATAAAGTGATATTGTAAAGATAAATTATTACCTGTGGCTTAATGTCTCGATGTATTAGATTCTGAGATCGTAAAAATTCTAACGCGTTTGCTGAAATTGGGTGGAAAGAAATTCGATATTTGAAAATGTCCGGTATTCATCCATTTTTACACGTGAGTAATTGTGATTTTGATGATATTCATTCTTCAAAGAAGCGAATCATCCCATCAACTCACAATACTCTTAAAATATACTTTTTAGGATAACTTACCTAATTGTTTCAAAAAGTGTAGTACCACGTATTCGTTTAAACCACCAGAAGACATTGTCGTCCCAGCTACTGCGTTTTTATTATTCATATCGCCGCGTCTTTTTATGTAATTCGATAAATCACCCATGGAACAATATTCCATGATTAAATGTATATGCGCATCCGATTTCTAAAGATAGTAAGTATAGAATGTTTTTATGGCATATTATGAGCTTGAAATTCTATGATAGAAACATGGAAAGGTATATGTACCTGACAGTCAACCAATTGAACAATGTGAATGTGTCGAATTCCCTTAAGGATTGTTATTTCTGACTCTAGATTTTCCAATAGTTTCCCCGTTAATTTTGAACGCAATACAGACTTGATAGCGACGGGTTGTTTTGTTTTCTAAAGGCAAATGAACCAAAAAAAAGAAGGTCGATTGATAACATTGTTTTCGTGCGAAAAAATGGAAAATATAAAGTCAAGCGTTAAGAGCACGTGTAATAGTGTTAGGGAAAGTATGTAAACATAAATATGTCCACCTTATGATAACCTTTATATACTGTTGCAAAAGAACCACGTCCGATTTCCACGCCTACAACATAATTACCGACCAGAGGTTGTTCTTTTGAGTTTCCATGCTCTAGGGATCTGTTGCTTGAAGCCATGTCTGTAATTCTGATGAAAAATAAAGTTGGTTGACTTGAATACAACAAAAATAAGTAGGGGACTGGGTTACTAGACTAGGGAAAATACGAGATAATAATAAATAGTTGGTCACAAGACAGCTTGAGAAATGGCAGATTCTATTGATACGAAATTTTCAGAAAAGCGTGAGACTTTTTATATAAATTATTTACTCTGGTACTCGTGTGTGTAACGCGAATGTTTATCGGATTTTGTCGCCATTTCACCATTTCAACCCATTGTCACGTTTCTTATTAAAACTGAACTTTTTTTCATCCAATCAATCAGAAATAAGATGTATACTTTTGATCACTGTTAGTCATACGGTTCACCGACCGTTGAGGTACATGAAACAAATTAATCTTTTCCCATAATTTTTTGTGTAAATATTAAAAAAGCACTGCGGAAGCTGCGTTTATCCCCAGCTACGGTTTACTAGCTGGAGAAACTTTACTGAAGTCCTTGTTATACCATAGTTTCGTGACTTCTTCAAGGAGAGATTTTATTAGTATGCGTTATTTGGATAATAGCAATTTATTGGGGGAATTCTTGAGCTTCGTTTTCAGTTGGATGCCACACATAAGATGAGGTAATTTTCAGTAATCACTATAAACATCATTGTCAGATGATTATTTAAAATATCCTATGATGAGTTTTTTCAAAAAAAAAACCGTATGTTAGACTTCTGATATTTTATGAAGAAATTATTGAAAATTGAGGAATTTGAAATTATATTCAACTTTATCAATCATCAATTATCAAAGCATTTACTGTTTCTTGTTATTTTTTTACTACATGAATTTTTTAGGTAATCTTTGGAAATTTACGAGCAATTGTTATTTTTAAGAACGATGGGCACATACTATTGGACAGCAGTCCGATAGACTGAAATGTTAATTAAAATCTAAACGTTGGTTCCAGTGATCCCCCTACCACTTCGGGTTTGTCTGCACAATGGAATGTATTCTTTGATCGAGAACAATGCCTGTCTTTTACCAGCCTGTCAAATTTTTGCTTGAATTTATATTTTTTTTGAATTTACAGTTCGCATTAGCAATATCGAAACCATTCCATCCAAAAGTCAAATTATTACGACATATGTCGTTATTATGACTGTCTATGATGTCATATTAACGGAGTAGACTGTATGCACTTTTCTTGATTGTCAAATTACTAAATTATGCCTTTTGTGATACGATCTAAATAATTAGATGATAAGTGTGTTGAATGGAAGAATTCTATTGATAATACAATCCACCCTGTGAACGTACTCCGTTTCATTTATCAACTTAATCATATTTAATGAAAAAATTTTTATCATCGTTATCTAATTTATGAAGCGTTTCTCTGATAAAATGATAATTAATGAATTTTTTCTCACAAATAAAAGATTTTTCCGAAATTTTCGTTCTTTGGATTTTTCAGCAACGTTGTGATACCAAATTTATGCACCTCAAATAATGTTTTATTCGCTTACAATATCGATATACAATCAAACTCTCAAAATGTAATCCGTCGGGACCATATGACTATCATTTAGAAAGAGCTTGCATTTATAGAGTAACCAAGAAGAGAGAATTTATATTTATGGAGGTTATTGAATAGCCACTTGCTATGAAATTCAACAAAATAACAAGTTCACAATTTTATTGATTGAATAAAAATGAACAACAAAACAATTCTCCCCTTTTTGCAAACACGATAATTCCCGAATTTAGTAGCATAAGAAATAAATAGTTTAACCTTAAAATTCCGAGAAAAATGTATCGTAATAATTTTCGTGAATATAAATAACGATAAGATTGAACAAAAAATTTGTAATTTTCGTGAAATATAAATAACTATAAGATTGAAGAATGAAATCATCAACAATTTTTGCATTATTTGCATGCATCAGCA